TTAGTGCGATCGGGGCACTAATGTACCTTGCTAACAATACTCGACCAGATATCTGTTTTGCAGTAAGTCTACTGGCAAGATTCAGTTCCTCCCCAACAAAAAGACATTGGAATGGTGTTAAACACATACTTCGATATCTTCGAGGGACCATGGACATGGGTTTATTCTATTCCAATGAATCCAAATCAGAACTGATTGGCTACGCAGATGCAGGGTATTTATCAGATCCGCATAAAGCTCGATCACAAACAGGCTATTTGTTTACATGTGGAGACACGGCAATATCTTGGCGATCAATGAAGCAATCATTGGTAGCCACTTCTTCAAATCATGCAGAAATAATAGCCATCCATGAAGCAAGTCGAGAGTGCGTCTGGTTGAGATCAATGACCCATCATATTCAGAAAATGTGTGGTTTTTCTTTGAAAAAGAATATACCAACCACAATGTACGAAGATAATGCTGCATGTATAGCTCAATTAAAAGGAGGATACATCAAAGGAGACCAGACAAAGCATATCTCACCAAAGTTCTTTTTCACGCATGATCTTCAACAAAATGGTGAGATAGAAGTTCAACAAATTCGTTCAAGTGATAATCTTGCTGATTTATTCACTAAGGCATTGCCAACATCAACATTTGAGAAGTTGAGATACAAGATTGGAATGCGCCGTCTCCGAGATATCAAGTAAAGTTTTCATCAGGGGGAGCGAAATACGCGTTGTACTCTTTTCCTTAACTATGGTTTTGTCCCAAGTTGAGTTTTCCTGGTAAGGTTTTTAATGAGGCAACATTCAAAGCGTATTATGAGATATGTGTACTCTTTTTCCTTCACCAGGCTTTTTCCCACTGGGTTTTTCCTAGTAAGGTTTTAACGAGGCACATAATCTATGGACATCCAAGGGGGAGTGTTATAAATCCATTGAATTGTGTGGATTGTCCTTTAGATTTACTCAAGACTTAATTGTATTCATGTATACATGTTCCCAAGGTGATAAGAATCATTTGGATAACTATGTACCTACTAATTGAACATTTATCATGGGGGCCTTTGGGGTGATATCTCAACTCTATAAATAGAGATATCATTCACCTTTTTGTTATACATACTTGAATAAGAAAATTATCTCCTCTATCTTATACTTCTTGTCTTTTTCTTCTTATATTCTGAGCTTTCTTTACAACAATCCCATTAATTTTGATTTTTTTTCTTCTTTTGGACGTTCCTTATGATTTTTTTAAACATTTTTTTGTTGATTTTCTATTATTATTATTTATTTATTTTAAATCCTTATCTCAACCCCAATTCCCTCAACAATATTTCAAACTAAATCCTAATCCAACTCTATTACTATCCTTTTAATTAGCATCAAACTCTCAGCCAAATTATTATAAAAACACGTTCAGTTGAAAGAGAAAAAGATAGACAAATACACAGAGAAGAGACACAGACACACAGATTACAAAGAAATATAGAAAAAAAAACGAGTTATTTCTTTTGAGAATTAGGTTAGAGTCAAAGATTTGATCGTGATTTCGAATTTGTGGATACAACTCGTTTTTGTGGTATCAATTTTCATAGCGAGGTAACTATAAATTCTCGCATGATTTAAATAATACTACTTCTATGAAAAGTTGATTTTAATAGCAATCACATTTATTATATTATTGTTATGTTATTACTATTATTATGTTTTTTTTTAGATAGATTTTGCAATTTATGTTGCTTCATGATATTGAGTTGTTGAATTTAAATAGATTAATATATTTTTTGGTCTATTTTCACTTTAGAAGATTTTTGTTGAGTTAATTGTAGACTTGTTAGATTAGGATATAAAAATAATAACTAATAAATGATTTTTTTCAAAAAGAAAAACTAATCTAAGTAGAATTGTAATTAAAAGGTAAATAAATTTCATTAGAGATTAATATTATAAACTAATAATAATAATAAAAATAATAATAATAAAATAATAATAATAATAATAACATAAGTAAAAATTGAGAAATTATATAAAGAGAAAAGAGATTTTAAAAATAAAAAGAAAAAAAAGGGGCATGAAAATATAATAATAAAAAAAAACATAACAAAATTTTTTAACAGAAACAAAAAAAAAGAACGTAAATTTAAAAAAAAAAAAAACAAAAACGTAAAAAATAAAAAAAAATAAAAAGGGAGAAGTAAGAAATAAAAATAAATAAATAAAAAATACAAATTTAAAATTAATAAAATAAAACGTTAAAAAAAAACAAATAATAACAACACAATTAAAAAAAACGATAAAAGAATAACAAAATTAGTACAAAATAATTGGAAAAAAAAAGAAAAGAAGAAGACAAAACTATAAAATAATAATATACTAAAAATAATGATAAAATAAAATAATAAAAAAAAGAAGAAGAGAGAAACGTTCTTTCAGAGAAAAAAAAAAACAAACAAACAAATATATAAAATTTAAAATAAACAAGAAACGTGAAAAAAAAAGATTTTTTTTTAAAAAAAAGAGAAGATGAATTTTTTTTTTTTATATAAAACAGGAAATAAAACAAAAAATGAAAACAACGTAAAAAAAAAAAAGGAGAAGAAAGACAAAATTTATAAAATAATAATAAAATAAAAATAATGATAAAATAAAATTAAAAAAAATTAAAAAAAAATTACAGAAAAAATAAAATAATATATATATAAAATTTAAAATAAAACATTTCTAATTTATTTAGGATTTCTTGATAAAACTAATTTCAAATCTTATAAAATTTTATTTTCTTATTTTAAATCTAAAATATATAATCCTAAATTAACTTGAACTCTAAATATGTCCTTCTTACACAAACTCTAATTCTTAGAAATTAGATATCTATATATATTCTACCTATTATAACATTAAAAATTAAAAACATACAAATATAAGCAAAAAAAAATATACGGATGTTCAATTTTAAAATTACACAAAAATAAAAAATAAAAATAAACACCCTTTAAAATAAATAAGCCAGTTTCAAATAAGTTTAAAATAAATTTGAGGATAAATAACAATTTTATAATTAGTTTAAAAAATATAATATCCAAAATTAAGTCAGGTCATATTAAAGTTAATAAAGCGACCGTGCTAGAACCACGGGATTCGAGGGGTGCCTAACACCTTCCCTTCGGTCAACAGAATTCCTTACCCGAATTTCTAGTTTGCATACCAATAAAAAATAGAGTCAAATTTCCTTTTGATTAGGGATTTAAATAAGGTGACTTGGAACACCAAAACTCAATTTCAAGTGGCGACTCTGAATAATAATTATCCCTTTTCAAAACGTCATTCGTTCAATTAGATAATATCAATATTTTACCAAATACTATAGTTCAGAAGCAAATTTAAACATTTATCGATAAGTAAATTAATTAATTATGACGGCTAAAGTCAATTTAACGAGTCTAGAAATAAATGAAATATAAAACATGTAAACATAAAAATATTGTTTCCAATAAACCTGACATATTGGATCTTCAATTCTGGAGAAAGAGTCTTAAAGTCCACCTTACTCATCACAAATTATGGAACAAAGTCTTATTATATAGGCCCTAATGTATAGTATATACTATTTATAATATTCCACTTACATATCATGAAAGTGACACCCAAAAATAAATAAAAATTACACTTCTAGCTTCATCATCTGATAATTCATACCATATCCAACTTTCCACTAACCTATAGCTAGTCAAAATAAAGATCATGTTAAAGAATATTTCACAGTATAGTCTGACACCAATAATTGCTATTGTTTATCGTTTTAGGAATTTTTGTTAGATATTTATGTAGAGATTCGATTAAATTCACAATTCACGTAAAAAATTTCAAAACGAGAATTAAATGCTCTCTAACAAATCAATATCATACCCTAGTTGTTAATACACTACATCAAAAATATTTTAAAGCCGAAATAAATAAATATATTAGTAAATATCAATGATATAGTCTTTACTGATATTAGTTAAGTGTCATTAGATTCAATATCGCCTAAGACTTTAGAAACATGTATAAAACTATGCATGTCAATTGATTAGGTGATTTTGGATTAACTTCTGAAACTGAGTTGTGTTACTCTTTGGTAATGACTAGCCATGAATTCTGTCAAATGCTCGCTAAAATTGTTGAGAATATCATTAACTAATAAAAAAATATGCTTTTTTAATAGCTTAAATTTTTAAATGAAATGATCATACACTTAATATGATATAGAGTAGACAGAGGTCTTGAGATCTAATCTCACAGCCACCTAAATTAAAAAGAATTTCCACGTGTTTAATTCATAAAAAAAAATCAAATTCGCAGGTAAAGAGACATGTTGAGAATATCATTTACTAATAAAAGATGAATTATCTAACAACTTAAGCCACGATAAAAAATTAGGCCAAAGTGGTTGGTGAAGTCGCAATTTCTTGCTCTTCTCGCTAACGAGAAGTTTGACTTCACTTGCTTATCGATGATTCAAATTTAAACATATTCTTTAGACTTCTTATGTGCATTTTTCACCTGCCAAAAATTATTCATCAATTACAAATAGTTATCTCTTCACACAGAGTCTTCTCATGTATATTCATTTTAAAAATTGTTTTCCTAATTAGTCAAATAATTATAAACATTAAATTCAAAATCATTTGACCACTTAAATTGTGATACACATGTATGTATAATACTTTTCTAGGTTAATTACTAGAATATGCTAATTAAAAAGCTAGAAAAATGTGATTAGTGATTCCCTGTCCTTTTAATGAAGATTATAATGGAGATTATATTATGAAAGATTGTGGGGGGCGGGATAATGTTGACAAAAATGTCACCAATAATTGTATCTTAGTAAGAAAATAATGTATAGTTAATGGTAATGAAAACGAAATTGTTTGGTTCAAAAAATAAAACATATGTACGAAGAAAAGAGAAGCACATAAAGCAACTATCATGTGGCCCATTTCTTGTCAAATCAATAGGTCCTTTTGATGTGATTTTTATCTCACAATACATTTTCTTCTATTCCTTTAACCTTTGTATAATCTTTCCAATAGTTGCCACAATTTTTGGCTACAAAAATCGATCAATCACAATCCATTTCAAGAATTCCACTTGAAAAAGGAAAAAAAAAATAATATGTCAAATTTTGATAGAGGCAAAGAATTGGTTGAGGGATCATCACCTGCAACGCCTAGTCGATATGAGTCTCAAAAACGTCGTGACTGGAATACGTTTGGTCAGTACCTAAGGAATCAAAGACCACCCGTTTCCATTTCCCAATGCAATAGCAACCACGTGTTGGAGTTCCTTAGGTACCTAGACCAATTTGGGAAGACTAAGGTTCATTTGCAAGGTTGTATCTTTTATGGTCAACCCGAGCCCCCGGCTCCCTGTACTTGTCCGTTAAGACAAGCCTGGGGGAGCCTGGATGCTCTCATCGGGCGGCTCAGAGCCGCCTATGAGGAGAACGGTGGCTCCCCCGAGACAAACCCTTTCGCGAGCGGCGCGATTAGGGTGTATCTAAGGGAAGTGAAAGAGTGTCAAGCAAAAGCAAGAGGAATTCCGTACAAGAAGAAAAAGAAGAAGGCTAGTGAGAGCAAAGGAGATGATGATTGCACTTCTTCTCACCCATTTTCTTGATCCAAAAAATGGTAAATTTTCTAACTTTTCTTTAATATTTGATTGCTTAGTTAATATACGTGAAAGGGGTTTTTATTTTTTATTTATTAAAACCATATTATAAAATATATGCAAAATTATATGATTAGGCTAATAATACTATCCCTAGAGACCAAATATAATGGGATAAAGAGGCATCTTTACATATAGATCCAAACTTGAAAAATATAGCAATACAAAGCTAGTTGAATATTCTATAGATTAATAAGAACTAGTATATGATATATGAAACAATATCATAATTTTATCTATATATAATCCAATAAAGTTGAACTTTAATTATATGTTGAACACTAGATTTCTGTGATCTAATTGGGAAATTAAAAATTTTAAAGTTTGGGGTTGATTTCTTATATGTTCACTCGATTAATAGTTAGTTCTTATCTCAGAAAGTCAATTTTCTTCAATGACACAGACTTAACGAAAAATAACTATTAGTTGAATACTAATCATATGAGAAATCAATTTGTTTTAACTTCCGCACCATGATGATAAGAGAAAGAAGCAAATTGCGTTAATCTTAAATATTAGCTACTGAATTTTGATCGATCATCGACCGGGGAATTAAAGTAGAAAATATTTAGCTAATTAATATTTTTCACCTCAAACCCTAGAAGTGATGGATAATTATGCAAAAAATTCATCATTTTTCTAACCTAAAAGTCTTTGATTAAAGCCACAATGTTAAAAGTACTATATACTTGCACCTCAAAGTCTTCGTAGAACTAGTCAATTTATTGTAATTCATGATATCACATATTCGAATCGTACAACAATCTCTTATAGAAATGTACTTGGAGAAGGCTTACAAACAATAGACTCTTATTGGTCCGACCCTTCCCTGAATCCCACACATAGAAAAATACATTATACCTTCATGAAAACTAATAAGTCTTCATTCAAGAATTTGGGAGCTATTCATGGTATATAATATGTCATCCTTACATTTTTTTTGTTTATATTCTTTTGGGATTCTGGAGATTTTGTGCACCCCACATATAGTCATTTGAGGTAACATAGGCTTTTTACATTTTTAATATAACAAGCATCTTAGAATTGACATTTTTTAATAGTTAAATTTATGTCCTATTCCACCTGAATCAATCAATCTATAGTAATTTACTCCACCATGCAATGCTCCCTCTCTTTATTTTTTTTAATAATTTATGAAAAAAGTGCGTTTTATAATGGATTTTTAAATCAACAAAATCATAATTGCAAATCTTTCTTATGTACGAGAAATCATAATATATAGTATTGATATTTCTTCAATTTCACGGTAACATTAATATATTACATTTCCTATTAGTGCGCATAGATAGATATAGGAAACAAATCTAGTAGTATTCATCTGAATCCATAACTTTAAGTCTAAATCTAAATTTATTCATATAACATAAACTAAAATTATTGAACTATGAATTGCAAGGGTGTCTAAGACCTATTGAAATCGTTGAAAGATTAAATTAAATAACGTAATCGCGATTCCACTTCTATAGATATAAATCACCTTATTATTGCAAGGGTAATATTGATATTTGAATGTTCAATATTGTTGTTTATTCGTCCTTTGTGTCTTTACAAGATTGCTCACTGTCTGTATTAGATCTTTGTGGGGGCATCACACTTATTCTTTATTTGTCAGAATGCTCTCTCTCTATATTTTTTTTTTTCATAAAAACAAATAATTATGTACTATAGTCTGTATGACATATTCCTATTTCCTCCATTATCGAAGTTGTTGGTTTCTAGCTGCATTTTTTGTCTTCTATTTGCTTCATTTATATGTTCATATCATTCAACTAATATATAATTTTCAAAAAAACATATTTTTTATCTAGTTGATTATAGTAACAATGTTGATTTTATGTGTTTGCTTCTAGTTTTAAAGATATGAATGACTATTTGTTACAAATGTGTGTATTATGTTAGCGTCCACTATTTTAAGCTCGTAGCTTCCTAGCTTTTCTTCTAGACTATAGCAAGTATAAAATGGTCAAGCAAATGAAAACTTATAGTATAAAATGAAGATGAATTTACTTCTATCATGTCAAGTAGGCTTTAATTAATTAACATATATAAATGGCAATATATTGGTAGAATTCTCAAGTTATTAGGTAAAGATGATTGAAAAGGTAACATTATTTGATACTTACTAAAATTATCTAATGGTAAGAAACCTAACAATTCACCCTTATAGAGCTTCTAACCCCCTGCAATGCCTCTGTCAGATAAGCAGGACTGACAAATTTTTAGGTTGACAAGCTTCTGAAGATGAGGTGCATATAAAATAAGAGAGGAAGAAAAGGAAAGGAAAGAACTTATTATATAAGATATAGTTTAAAATCATATGGTACAAATATTTTTTTAGGACTTGATATGATACATCCCTAAAATAAGTGCATAGGTCCAAATTATTTCACTTGGAATCTAAAATTCTGAATTTGATCCTTTTTGATATAACCAATCTCTTAGCATTCCCTTGCTAGCTTCTTTTCCCTAAATCTCTCGAGCAATAATACATGTCATGAATTTGGATCATAACAAATTTGGTATCAAAACGTGTTCTCCCTTAATGCAATGGTGGAACAAACTTTTGCCAGGACCTTGTTATGGTTCCCGGTTATGAATTTATTTATGGGATGCTGCAAGATAAAATTTGAAGTTTTCTTTTTTCTACCTCTGGTGCTGGTTCGTTAAGAGAGAACCTACGATCTCTTAAGTTTGAAGTACTCACAAAACTTGACTAATTTTCTGCCTATCATTTCACTAAATACAAATTACATTAGATACAACCTGGTGGATTAACCACCCATCTGAAAACAAGAAAGTAACTTCCTACTACAACGGAAATGAGAAAGTGGAGAAATAACCTCTTTACTGCTATACAAGAATAGGAAAAATAAGTAACTAAAAAATTGTAGTATTCTATTGCAAACAAAAATAAAAATAAAAAACTTAATTTCCTTAAATCTTGTATGTGTAAAACATTGTTAGACTACAAGGGGTGCTAACAGACCCTGAGTCTCTAAGTAGAGGTGTATGTGACACGTTGACGGAGGGCGATCAAGTGGGACTGAAAGATTTTTAGGTTGACAAATTAGTAACTATTAGGTGTACATGACAACTTAAGTAAATACTACTTTGATACATGAGAGAAGGAAATTACAAAATTTTATAAGACATAATATAAATTTATATGATACAAACTTTTAAGGCTCGATATAGCATAGTCCAAAAGACATGTCTTTAGACTTGAGTCATGGCACCCTAGGTCTAGTATTGCGATTCTTTTTCATCCCTTTGCTTCAACTTGTGCTTTTTTTTTTACAAAGAGTTTTAGATATACACGCCAAAGAAATTAATACGACATCTATCGATAAGTTAAATCTACTTAAAATGTGAAATTTTTAATTTAAAAAATACGACTAATTATCTATTCTAACAAGTGATCTCATGGTGTAGAAATTTTTTTATATTGATGATCATGAATATAAAGTATACTTTTTATACTTTTGAAATATATATCTTAAACTCGATTTCTGATGGAGTTTTAAGTTATATGTACATATCCTATAGAAGATCCGATTGTATAAAACATTTTCTACCATTATGATATATAAGTATAAACTATAATAATAATAATAATAATAATAATAATGACATATTCGATATTTTCTTACAAGTGAGGTATAAAAGATAGGAGATACACAAAACTGTTTCCAATAGACCCTAGCTAGATTTAAAAGATGTATAGTTTTCTGATTAAATTCACTAGAAATTCAAATTTAATTATGATTACATTTAGTATATTATTATTTTTCTTGTTTTATTTTTGCAGAAAAGTGATGAATTGTGTCTTCATGAGAAGGTTATTGCTGAACACTTAAGGGATTTGCTATATATATAGCTCTGGAAGAATTATGTTTCATATTTATTAAGTCATCATTTGTTGTTTTTTTTATATATATAAGTGCCTTGATTTCCTTTTTTTCTGCTAATTAATTAATTAGCAGTCATGTTCAATCAGAGGCATTTTCTTCAAATTATTACTGCTTAGTAATTTAAATATTCTACTGTTCTTTCCCATTATATATTTCTCAGTTGTTTGTGAATCCTAAACTAGTTCTATTGTAAGATGATTATTATAAACTCTTTTTGTACAATTAAGTGATCATTAATTTGAATCCAAACCCTACTGTACGTATATTACGTTGTTTATGCTTCTTTTTCGCCGTCTCAATTTATCTGATGCACTTTGACTAAACACAAAATGAGTATTCGTGTGATTATATTTAAATTATCTCATGAAAATGAAAGTTTAAAGTTAAATCATTTTTACATATAAAATCAAAAGTATCATTCTCGCCATCTCAATTTATCTGATACACTTTGACTAAACACAAAGTGAATATTTGTATGATTATTATCTCATGAAAACGAAAATTTTAAAGCTAAATTATTTCTATATATAAAATAAAAAATATCATTCTTTTTTTGAAACAGACTAAATAAAAGTGTAATACATATACATTTAGAAACATTCATCTGCAAATGGTCTTAGTTCTCAGATAAAAAATTAATGGAAAAAATCTGTAGAATAGCAAATAATTAACACATATTAGCTAGTATAGCTACATAGAGAAAAGTACAATTCACGGCTACAGTTTCTTTAATTTTTGTTATTCGTCTGATTTATATAATTTGTCATACATTGAGAAGTTGTATAATTTATTTTCTGATTATATAAATTTATAATTTTGTATGTGCTAATTACCCTAACTATTTGTATACGATTTATGAAAAAATCATAATAAATTACCTTGTTGTATATTGGCAAACAAAATATACAAATAAAGTTCTAAAAAATTCTTAAATATATAAATACAAAATTTGTGTATATATACTTACCCTATTTGCATGCATAAATATACAAACTGTACACCATCCATAACAAACAAAACTATAGTTATAGAGCCTTATTGTATCTATTATATTTGTTGTTTCTAAAATTTTCTCAAATTTCGTAGGGAGGCCTTCATCGTTAATGTTGAATTGTTGATGTTTTCATTGTTACAACATTACAACTGAAGTCATATTTATCCCTTCCACTAAGATTTTAAATTATTATGAATGTGGAAAAAAGATTTATTGGATATCCAATAAGTTAATTAGTTGAAAAGATTGAGAAATAACATATATAAAATTTATGCGATTAAATTTGAAGACAAATAAAATTGGAAAAATTATATGGATGGTGTCTTTTAATAAATAATTACAAATTTAGCTATACTTTTTATTTAATATCATTTATAACAATACCATGTTAAATCTGTAATATGTATTAAAAGTGAATTAAGTATGCAATATTTATGTATTATAACTATTTTTAAAAGTATATTATGCTTTTTTGGTAAGAAGTTTACACATTATAGTACAAGTGTATTAAAATGTATTATCCATCAATTAAACTTGTATTATATGTGAAGAATAAATTGTACTTTGTAATATGAATTAAAAATGATCAAGTGAAAAAAAAATATTATTACTATAAATGATAAATATTTTTTATTTATAGTATATTTACGTAAGTTTCCCAAAAACAATTATACTATCACTATATGAGGAGAGTATTTTTGGGTTAATTAGCTTTAACCCAATAACTTATATTAGAATAAATAGTTTGAATAATCATATGAATAGGAATACGGGGGCCACTTGCACCTTAACAAATCTAAAGAAGAGATTATTGAGTGTTTCGATAAAATTTATCTCAAAGCTATATATACTTAATGACGTTGAATCATATTTGAGATAAAATGAACAAATTCTAACCCCAAAATCCTATATAGGTCAATTAGTGGTATAATTATAGGTATAATTTATGTGTTTCATAAATATTACTAGTTCATTTGTGATGGATTTGTTGATTGAAAGGTGCATATTATTTCTCAATTTCATTATGTTTGTGCGAATATCAAATATTATAACAGGTGAAAACTATTCACTTATCCGTAAAAATAATATAAATTTTAGATTAAGATGGTTTTAATCAATAGGTTAATTATTATCAAAAGCTTTATCAAGAAATTACTACTTGGGGTTGTAAATCCTAACCAATGGAGACAATTAAACTCGTCCAACTCTTACCAATTTTATTTATTTTTTGTCTACTTTCTTTTAATTTATTTAATTACTAAATAAAAGTTAATAATCTATTCAACAAATATATAACACATCAAACAAAATAAACTTTTTTTAAAAAATAGTTTGATAAAAATTTTCATGCATTAGTTTGAGATATATAATAATCAATATCTAATATTAACCTAAGCTGAATTTGAACAAATCAAAATTAACCAAATTAATAAATGTGAGGGTCATTAACACATCTAAGCTTTGACACCTTAGTCGAGTCCTATCTTCTTAAGGTGGTAATTAGGGATGCCAAATGAGCTGGTTAGATTGAAATTAGAGATATTAAAATGAGTTGAAATAGAAATTAGGTTAGATCTTGACCCGCTTAAGTTTAGTTTGAGCTCAAATGGGTTGAGTTCAAATGGACTAAAAAAATGTATTAAGTTTATAGCGGTTCAATTTAATCCGATTAATATCAATAATTTTAAAATAGTGATATTTAACTTTTATAATCACAATACGAATATC